TAATGATCATACTCGAAATTTTTGTTTTCCTTTGATTTACCAATCACTTGTCAGTTAATGACAGACTGCTTCTTTTGATAATATCTATATTTTGGATGAAAATTTCTCTTTTGAATTAAAATCATATTATATGGAATGAGCCATATGATTCTCTTACAAATTGTTTAATTTATAGACAGTAAAATGGTGGCCCATACATAGCCTAACGTAGCACAAATAGTGACAGAGGGCTAGAATCTATTTATGACCCCCAGGTAGATTTTTATCCTCTGAAATATTACACTGAAATTATGTGATGCTTTCTTTGTTTACTTCTTTTCAAGTACATTTTAAGTGTCTTGAAGACAGGTGCTCTCTTATCTCTTCAATGACTACTTCAGTGCCTTGTACTTGCTAGATGGACAATAATAACTGATTTGATTTGAATACATTTTCATATGTTTCTTGAAATTAAAGTGTGCCTTAAAAAAAACACCTTTTAAAAGAAGTCTTCCTAATAATGCCAACTTTGACTTCCTTTCTTCTTCAAAAATTTTTATTGACTACAAAAAGAATACATTCTCACTGGAAAATTATCCAAACAACAAAGAAATAAATAATAAAGTGGAATGGAAGGTTCCCCCAAATTCTGCCCTCCCCCATAAAAGCAGTTAGAAGTTGGGGAATATTCTATGTACATAGATAATTTCTGTGTAGACTAACATTACATATAATAGCATTAAATTATACACACCATTTTCTCAGGTTGTTATATAAAATATATTTTGAATTCATCATTTCATATAAAGACATATAATGATCTTAGAATCTATACAGTGCTTGTTGAATGGCTGCATTTACTATAATTTATTTAAATAATCTTCTTGGTAACCACTTGGGTTGTTTTCAGTTTTTTATGATTTTGAACAATACTTCAATTTTATTTCCTCATCCATGCGTTTCCTTGTGGACTTATGCTGTGTTTGTAAGGACACATTCTTAGAAATGGGTGTACTAGATCAAAGGATATGAACAGGTTATAATTGGGTAGAAGTTGTCAAATTGCCTCCCAGGAATCCTGCTAAGGTAAACTCCTTCCAAAAGTGAATGAGAGTGACTGGTTCTTTACATGTTCCCAACTCTGGATTTTTTGTTCTCAAAATATCCATCAAAATATGATATTTTACTATTTTTAAATTGAATCTTTGTATGTATCAGTGAGCTCAAACATCTCTTTATACTGATTAGCTACTTTTCCTTGTGCATGTCCTTAGCCTTGAGTCGATTTTCTTTTTTCTTACGATCAGATTATCTATCTTGTAGGCAACACTTCCCTCAGTCTGTTATTCATCTTTTGAACTTGGTAGTGATGTGTTTTTCCCTTACTAAGATCATAAACTTCAAAGTAGACAAATAAGTTGATTTTTACTTCATGATTTTTTTCTTCCACATGCTTGGAAATGGCTTTTCTCTCCCCAAATTATTATTATTATCTCATTCTTTTTTCTAGCTCTTGTACAGTGTAAGTTTCCACATCTCTATGCTTGATCCACCCAAAATTTTGTTTAAGGCCAACTGTCCTTTTTCTTTTTTCCCCTTCCTCAGCAAGTGAGTTGTCTCCACCTTCACAGGTATAAAAAACTACCTTTACAATGTCTTAAGTGCTCACATATACTTCCTGGGCTTATTATATTATTATTAATATTATTCATTTCTGGACTTATTATATTGATGCCATACTATGTATAACAGTACATTTTAAGTACCTTGTGTGACAAGCCCTCTTCTATATTCTTCTCTTCCAATACTTTCCTGACACATTTATCCTTTCAGATATACTTTAGATCTATTTTATTAAATTACAATTTAAAAAATCTGTTGGGAAATTAACTTGAGTTACACTGAATTATTACATTGATTTGTGAATTAGAGTTGGCTATTTGTACAGTTGTCTTACAAACTATAAATAATGAATACCTTTCTATTTATTCCAGGTTTTCATTTCTTAGTTGAATTTTGTAGGTGTCTTAACTTAGTATATTATTACAGATTACTTTCTACATTTAGTCCTAGGTATTTTACATTGAAAAAAAAATGTTGGAGGGGGTCACTATTGTGTTTTTAGACAAGTAATTTTTTTGTACATAAAAGAGTTACTGATTGTCTTGTATATCATTTAAAAAATATTACACCTTACTAAATTCTCTTATTGTTTTCTAATAAGGATTTCAGTTACCTATCTTGGGTACTGAAGATACACAAAGTTAACATCAGTATTGGTAAGTATGCATATTTCTTTCAAATACTTAGTTCTGTTATTTCTTTTTTCTAATGTATAAAGAAGATGTGTGTGTGTATATATGTGTGTATGTGTGTGTGTGTGTAGCCATGTATGTATGTGTGTGTATATATATATATATATATATACACACACATACATACATACCATGGAATACTGCTTGGCAATCAAAAAAGAATGAAATCTTGCCATTTGCAACAACATGTATGGAACTAGAGTGTATTATGCTAACTGAAATAAGTCAGTCAGAGAAAGACAAATATATGATTTTACTCATATGTGGAATTTAAGAAACACAACAGATGAACATAGGGGAAGGGAAGGAAAAATAAGATAAAAACAGAGAGGGAGGCAAACCATAAGAGACTCTTACATACAGAGAACAAGCTGAGGGTTGCTGGAGGGGAAGTTGGTGGGGGGATGGGCTAAATGGGTGATGGGCATTAAGGAGGGCACTAGTTGGGATGAGCACTGGGTGTTGTATGGAAGTGATGAATCACCGGGTTCTACTCCTGAAACCAATACTACACAGTATGTTAACTAACTTGAATTTAAATAAATACATTTTAAAAGAAGGGGGAAAAAAAGAATAATGTGAAATAATAGTGATTCTAAGGAGAGCACAGATATTAGTGTGAGGCCCTGCTCTTTGTCCTTCAATAACCAAATGGGGGTATAGTAAAATCTTCAAATAGTTTTGGATATTGGAGGCCACAGTGAACTTTCCCTCCTTGTTTGGTGGTACTCTGGGAGAAGGCACTTTGCAGAAAAGCCCACCACTACACGACCATATCATGACAACTCTGGTCTAGGGAAGAGTGTCTGAAATCCCAAACAACATGCGCATGCACATAAGCATGAATCTTTGCAACCATGTTGTGCCATGAAGATCTGAAAAGTTCTTACGTACCCTGTTGGAGCCCTGCTGGAGTTGAGAGCTAGTGTGTCTCCAGAGGCTACCAGGATAATGAATAAGGGGACCGTGTAGCGGCAGCTAAAGTCAGAGCCCAGAACCAGATGGAAGACGTTGCTGCGTCTAACAGAATCAGTCAGCAGAAACAGTAAGCCCTAAGAAGGGCATCAACTCCCTTCTCAAAAGAAAAGACATGTATTATCCATGCTGAGTGTAGTCGAGGTCCAGCAACAGTGGACCTTAGCAGAGACACCCCTCCTGAAGTCGAGAGGATACACAAGCCTCAAGAATCTGGAAAAGGTTTAACCAAATCAACACAGAGAAACCAGGAGGAAGGAATTCATCAGTAGAATTCATCAGTAGGAATTCAACACAGGAGGAAGGAATTCATCAGTATGAAAGTAAAAGCTTGATGGAGTTGAAAACCAAGAAGCAGTAGAATAATAATAACTAAATGTTGGTTCTTTGGTAATATGAATAATAACATAAAATGGCACGTAAAATAAGGCAACAAAATAGAAAAGATACAAATAAGGAACTCTGGGAGTAAAAAAGAAGCAAAATTAACAGTTAAAGAGGCAATCTTAAAATCACGAGAATACTATTGAAATAAAAGAAATTGAAAATACAGGCACAATTATATTTTAGGAACTTATATATTACTAAAATATGCTCAATATTATGAAAAAAGTCAACTACAAATTATTGAAGAAGATAAACTGCTTAGTCTTACAGCTTTGGGAAGCCCACTTGGTTTCTCTAGGCCTGTTTCCACTCTTGTGCAATGAGAATAATATCTTCCTCCTGGAATCTTGTGAGATTTAAGGCAGACATACATGTAGAGTACTTAGGACAGTGCCTGGCACATAAGTCCTCACTAAATGTTATCTTTTATTATTTTTATGACAAGGATATCATTACATCATTGTAATAGTGAAACATTGGGAAAGCATAACCATCAATAAGAGAATGGTTAAACTCTGGAATATCACAGTATAGCGTTCTATACCATGAAGCTAAAAGTGAAAAAGTTCCATCTATTGTGATAAGAAAAGATCTCCTAGACTATTGTTGCATGACAAGGGAAATTACAGAATAATATGTAGAGAGTGAGACGATCTATGTGTCAAAAGCAGGGAGAGAAAGGCAGGGGAGGTAATGAACTCGTAACTGGGATGGGGGTGGAGGTTGGATTGAGTGATAGTCAAGGAGAATTGTATCTTCATCTGTATTTTTGAACTCCTGCCATGAAAATGATGGACATATTGTCTAGGGAATAGAACTTAAAAATAATTTTTTGAATACTTAAAATAAAAAGTAGGTCTTTCCTGAAGTTTCCAGAAAAGGAGTCTGAAAAGAATGTGGTCTACACTGCAGCGCCCTCTCCCCCCACCCCCCCACCCCCGCCAAAAAAAACCTCCTTAAAAACTCTTGCATCTGCACTGCTTCTCGGCTTTCCTCTCCATCCACTAGACTGCTGCCATATCACACTCTTCCCCCTTTCTCTACAGAAGCTACAAGGCTCTTTCCTTGGTCCCCTGCTTGTTCCCTTTCATTTTTCCAAAATTTACAAGTAGCTTCTATTTCAAACATTCAGCCAAGGCAGAAATGAATTTAGCTTATTGCTATGTACCCATCCCTGTAAAATAAACACATTGTCACCTTTGTTTCGGGTCTAATTTTTAATTTAACCAGAAATAAGATGCTACAGGACCAATATTGCTAGTGCTTTGGGAAGCTAGAAAAAGAGGGGCGTGTTCTTTTGTAATCGTTCTTATCATTGAAATGCCAGTGAACCAGGACGTGCCCTCACACCTCTTGGGGTGCAGCCCTCCATCTGAGCCCCCTTTTCAGGGCGCCCTTGACCTCCTTGTTGCGAAGGCTGTAGATGAAAGGGTTCAAGGTCGGTGTGAGCACAGCATAGACCACGCTGGCCAGGCGGTCATAGCGGGCTGAGTAGGCGGAGGACGGCCGGAAATAGACGGAGAGGACAGAGCCGAAGAAAAGCGACACCACCACCAGGTGGGCCCCGCAGGTGGCGAAGGCGCGGCGCCGGCCCCCGGCCGCCCGCACTCCCAGCACCGCGACGAGGATGCGCGCGTAAGACAGCGACACGAGGAGCAGCGGGGTGAGCACCACGGCCAGGCCCTCGGAGAAGATGGCAGCCTCCGCGGTCGCCGTGTCCGAGGTCGCCAAGCTCAGCATCACCGTCATGTCACAGAAGAAGTGGCGCACAGGGGCGGGGCACGGGTAGGAGAGCGCCGAGATGAGCAGCGTGTGCAGCAGCGAGTGCAGGTGGGCCACGGCCCAGGACGTGGTCACCAGCGCGGCGCAGCGCCGGGGCGTCATGACCGCGCAGTAGTGCAGCGGGCGGCAGACGGCCACCGCGCGGTCGTAGGACATGGCTGCCAGCAGGTAGCTCTCGGTGATGCCCAGAGCCACGAAGAAGTACATCTGGGAAAAGCATCCCTGGAAGGACACGGCCTGGCGCGGGTGGAGCAAGCCGGCCAGCAGTCTGGGGACCGTGACAGTGGTAAAGCAGACGTCCACGAGGCTCAGGTGACCCAGGAAATAGTACATGGGGGAGCGGAGGGCCCCATCCGACCTCACCACCACCACCATGGCCAGGTTGCCCAGGGCATTGAGCAGGTAGACGCCGAGGAAGAGCAGGAAGAGCAGCGGGTGGATGTCTGTTCCATCCACCAGGCCGAGGAGGAGGAATTCTGGGGCGGTCGTGAGGTTGGCCAGGGCCATGGAGCGGCCAGAGAGGCGGGGGCGCTGAGGGGGCAGATGAGGAGCAGGCCTAAGTTCTGGCACCTTTCGGTAGGCTTCTGCATGTGCGGGTTCCGTATCCTATTTTTAAATTTACGCTTGCTAAAAAGGCTTGGAAACCACACTGCCCACCCAGGAATCCTCATTTCATGAAGAAACTCAGTATCTGAATCCCAGTAGGGTGTCCTAAGGTAGCAGGCGGTTTCGAGCTTGGAGTAGAACAGACCTGAGTTTGAGATCTGGCTCCACCCCTCGGGTGCTATGACGGCTCTAAACCTCCATTTCTTCTTCTTTCATTGAAGAAAATACTAATCGCTACCCATGGAGTTGTTGTGAAGATAAAGTGGGTAATAAGTGTAAAATACTTAGCGCAGCACCCAGCACCCAAAACTCTTGCCTATCTACCCACCTCCCTGCCACCCATCTATTTATCTACCATCATTTGCATAGTCAAACAAGCAGTTGAGGCAGAATTGGGACCCAGGCCATCTGAAAACCAGTTGAAGTTTCTTCATAAAACCCCTTATGGCATTTGCCATTTGTTTATTCACCACGTATTATGTGCTAACTCAGGAATCATTAAACTTTTCTGTCAAGGATCACAGAGTATTTTAGGCCTGTGGGCCATAGGGTCTCTTACAAGTATTCAGCTCTGCCATTGAAGCGTGAAAACAGCCATTGATAGTATGTAAATGAACGGCCTTGGCTTTGTTCCAATAAAACTTTATTATAAACAGGCAGAAGGGCAGATTTGGCCCGTAAGACATAGTTGGCTGACTCCTGTGCTGGGGCCTGTGGGGAACAGGGTGAAGCTTAGCTTTTGCCCACAGTTTGACCTAGAGCAGCTTGCAGTGTTTCCTCCTTTACTAATTTTATGAACCACGTGGGAGTAAATTATTCTACCGGAGGAGTTTGGCAAGAATATAAAGAAGAGATGGGATTTGAACTGGGTCTTGGAGAATAAATACGGTTTTATCCAGCAGACGTGCTATGGTGTCGGAGGGGGAGGCATCCAGACAGGGGGAAGAGATTGTGTGGGATTGTTGGCAGAGGGCGCATGGAATGAAGAAGGTAACATCCACTATGATGCTGGGGCAAGTCTTGTCTTTGCTCTGACCTCAGCTGACTGAAAACTTCAAAGTTTCTCAGTAAGCCAAGTGATTTCAATTATCTCTGAAACAAAGCACTCATTTTGTCACCCACTCAATCTCTTCCTTAAAACACATTTTTTCCCACTGATGCAAAGTTTCTGTAAATGTTCTGTTCCTAGCCTAGCCTATCCCTGCTTTGTCAGGAAAGAGGGCCAGGCTTTGGTGAGATCCCAGAGAGTGGACCGAGTCAGTTCTTAGCTCAGATGCTCCTTGCAAGAAGGAGCTGTGCTTATTCCCTGTCTTGCCAAGTGATCTATACACAAAACTCACTCAATCGGTATTTGTGGAATAAAGCTTTTTAAAGAGCAGTGAGAGAAAAAAGAGGCAAGGGAAGGTGGAAGAGAGGAGATGATGTGCAAACTGCAGTGTCTGCTCTTGTCGTGTTTCAGGAGAAGTCCCAGATGTAGCCTATTTTTTCGTTTTTCTGCCTTTCTATCACTGTCACTCATTGGCTATCGCAGGGAGTCATCTGCTTATGCCAACTCCACCCCTATCCGCAGAACAGAGCTGAAGTGTTGAACAGCCAGGACCTTGGTACCTCTCCGATTCGTCCTCTTTTGAGGTACAGGATTCTCCCCTGCAGAGCCCCTGACCTTCCCTCCCCACCTCCAGGTGGGCACTGCATGATATAGAGGAAAAGCCACTGGCTTTGCAGTCAGAGCCACCTGGGTTTTAATCCTGATTGACTTTGTAAACGTAGACCCATATTCATTCCATCTCTACTCTTCTCATCTATAGAATGGAAATACTGATGATTCCTCTCTGCGTGGTTGATGCCATGATTAAATGGGTAATGGATATATAAGCATGTAGCAGGGAATGGTTGCTTAGTAGATGTTGGTTCCCTTTCCCTCAGCTTCTGATGCCTTCTCCCTGTTCCCTGAGGCTACTAGAGGCAATCCAGTCCACTGCTGGAAGCCTGTAGTTATTTAAAGATGTTTTTCTTAATCTCAGCTGAAACCTGCTTCCCTGTAACTTCTACAAGTGGTCAGTTTTGGCCACTGAAGGTTAAACACTTAATCTCCCTTCTCTGCAGCTTTTCACACAGTGTTAAAAAAGTCTATGAGCTGTTCTTCTCTCCAATCCAAACACACCTGGTGCCTTAGATTCTTTCCTAGAGGACCTAATTTCCAGGTCCTTTTCCATTATGGTCAACCTCTGTTTTGCCAATGTGTTTTTTAACTGGAATTGGACTCAGTGGTCTTTCTGGGGTTGGGTTGTGTGGGGTTCTCTGGGGGCACTGTAACAGCTCAACTGTCCACTTCACACCTATCTGTTGAGCGCCTGCTTTGGATCCGGCTTTATGTTGGTCTCTAGGATTATAAAGGCAGGTCAGCTACGGTCCTTGACCTCCAGCCATGCACAACAATAAGCACTACACTAACTGTATGAACAAAGTAGTAGGAGTAATTTCCTGTGCTTGTCTGATTCGGGGAAGATTCCAAAGAAGAGGTGAAGTTTGAACTGGGGTTGGAAGAATCAGTAGGAGCTCACCAGATAGAGACCTGGAAGTGGGAAGGGCGTTTCAGGCAGGCAGAGAGAATGTGAAGGCAGAGAAAGGTATTTTGGGGGTGGGGGGGAGAGCTGACACATGGCTTTGTCCTCCCTACCCCTGTGAGGCACAGTGGAGTGGGGTGGGATGGAAGATAGGACCCAAGGCAGGGAGTTCTCTCACCTGAAGGGCAGCATGCCAGGCCTCAACACTGTCTGCACCGTCTGTGGGCTGGTTTCCCTCCTGGCCAGAGGTCCCCGATCTTGAGGACAGATGCATTCTCATCCATCTTCACCCAGAGACTTCAGCGTGTTTCCTGTGGGCTAGGACAGCAGCCTTAAAGAGAGAGAAAGCCAGAACTAAAAGGGGCCTGGAGATTCTTGAGCCATGCTCTCTCTACTCAGTTTGCTGCCCTGCTGGTCTCCCATTGCCCATCGGGTACAGTGCAAATGGCTCAGCCTGGCAGCCAGAACTTCCCAACTTGGTTCTCTGGTGGTCTCAGCTCCAACTGCTTCCACATGCTTCCCTGTCCCCCCACCCTAGCCAGGCTGGCCTCCTCACCATCTCTTGTTCACACGTTTCTCACAGGCTTTTCCTGTACACTGCTCCTTACCTGAAATGCTCTTCCTACCCTTTCCCAATACCCAACTCTGGCTCCACCCCCTCCAGGAAGCCCCACCTTCTTTCCTGACTCCTCCAGCCCTCACTTGAATGCCTCTCTCCTCTCTGTCTGGTAACCCTCCTTTGGAACTTAGCCCTTATTTGCTGGTGTTGTGACTTCTGCTGTAATGCTCATCTTCTCCACAAGATGATGGACTTTCTGAGGGCAAATATTTACTTATCTGTTCCTATCTGGCCTCAGACCTGGCACAGAGCTTTGTCTTTTTTTTTTTTTTTTTAATCTTTTAGAGAGAGAGAGACACAGAATGTGAGAGTGGGGAGGAACAGAGGGAGGAACACAGAATCGGAAGCAGGCTCCAATCTCTGAGCTGTCAGCACAGAGCCCGACGTGGGGCTCAAACTGACAAACCATGAGATCATGACCTGAGCCAAAGCCGGACACTTAATTGACTGAGGCACCCAGGCGCCCCATCACACAGGGCTTTGTCTTAACTCTCCTGGCAGTCAGAGAAGGCTCCACAGAGGAGGTGACATTTGAACAGGGCCAGCTTGAAGGATAAGACATTCACTGGACAGACAAGAGTAGAAAGGAGTTCTAGAAAGAGGGAATAGCATGTACAATGGAAATTACAAGAGAAACCTCAGAGATGTTACTTAACCTCTTTGAGGCATATACATTCACTTAGCAAATAGTAGGTACTTAAAAAATGTCAATTTCCTCCCCATCTCCCCCAGCCTCGAAACACTTTTGGTGACGGGAGATAAACTGACTGAATTTATGTTGGCTCCCCCGGAAATCCGGGCACAGGACTGGTTTCCCTGGATGCTGAGCTGCAGGTTTTGACTCCGAGCCCCTTCCTAAGGCCCAGGCATGGCAGGTGTCTCTTTGAAATGAATAGGGGTGACTTATTTAAGGTCACAAAATGAGGCAGAGAATCTTAGGATCTAGACCAGAAACCCCGTCCCCCAGGCAGCTTACGGAAAAGGTCACCTTTGCAGCAAACACTCAGATGCCCCAAGACATAGAAGTACACAGGGATACGAGCCTGCACAAAGATGCAGACATATCCTGATAAATCGAGTCACACGGACATGCCAGAGACACACTCACACCCACCAGGACAGCAATAGACACACATGGGCACACATGGATACCCACTAACAGTCATTTACACAGAGGTGTAGACACATACACAGATCCATCCAAAGACATACCTGCCATATACACACAAAGACCCAGACCCAGACCCCTACACTCAAAAATGCGAGAGACGTAGAGACCTCCATGGATTCTTCCAGCCACACAGGAGTCAACACACAAATGCCAACAACTTCCTCCTTCCTCTCACTCTTGCTGAAAGTCTCCATTTGCCTTATCAGACGGGGACACGGGCAGTGGGGAAAAGGGGAAACTGTCGCTGGCCCCCTAGCACTCCCAGTCCTGGGAATGTCTATCCAACTCCTTGACTTTGGTCCCTTGCTGGTCAGCTCAGATTCTTCTCCTGAATAGCCTTGTCTTCAACCAGTTTTAGCCAAAGATGAGGCCTTTCTATTCCAAGGGCTTCCTTCTATCCTCTCCTTTCCTCTGCCAACTTCTCATTCATTTCTCTTTAATAATTTATATAGCAATCTTGCCTGTTGTATCTACTCTATGCCGGGCAGGTAGTTGAGCACGAGGCAGGGAGGGCATTCAGAGTTTTATGAACAAGACCCGATCA